TATATATATATATAATTGGGGGGTGTGGGCTACATTTGAGCTGGTGCAAATGTAAATTTTTGGCAAATGCTGTACCATTTAGCTGTATGCACAGCCCTTTTTATACTTTTCATTTTGAGACAGCGTCTCACTAAATTTTCTGGGATAGCCTTGAACACTCTGTAGCTCAGCCCAGTCTTCATTTTGCCACCCTCTGCCCCCGTCTCCCACGTAGTTGGGATTGTAGGCCTGTGGCACCAGACTTGGCCTAACAGATTTTAAACACTGGAAATCTTTTTGTCAGTGATTTACAGAGTGTGATTACTAATGAACAACAAAAATGATACTAGGTTTGAACAGGAATTTGCCCATTTGAATTTGAAAGTATCATTTTATAATTCTGTAAAATTAGTGTTGTGACAAAAATGAAAAATTTTATCTGGAAAAAAGACCTAAAAGTTGGGAGTTGTTAATCTCATTTAATTAAAGGAATCACCCACCTCCCCAGCCAAATCTTTTTCTTCAAATCTACTTAGATACAATACATAATGGGAAAGAATCAACTGGATTAAAATGTTTTAAGATCTTATTAAGGAAAAAAAATAGATTATAAACGCAAGTCTCATGAAACTAAATAAAATAAATTCAAGGTCTGTGTTGTTTTACATGTACCCTATATATAGTCTAAATCATACTGAAGGTATATGGGTAAAAACTATGTCCTGCTTATTACTAAATATTGGTCAATATATCAAAGCAGCCCTGGAAAATAAGCTCTTTGGAGATAGTGAAATAATTTCAGTTCCTAAAGTTATCCTTAATAATTCTCTTTGCTGCATGTCCACCTTCTGGCACAAGTCAGGTTTGAGATTCACACCAGCCAGCAGGCAAACTGCACCTTTGATACAAGCAGATGTTTCTGTTTTTATAGCAATGAGGGCCACATAGATTCTTACTTTCTTATAGGAAACTACAGTCAAAACATGATAAATTAGTTCTTTATACTAGAACACATGGCAGTTCTGAAACCATTTATAACTTGCTTTATTTAACCCCCTTAATTTGGAAGCTCTTAAAAGGCAAAAGATAAACTTTCTTGATAGAAAGGTTCCTCGTTGCCATAAAACACCTGACCATAAAAGTATAAACAAAGCCTGAAAGACTGCCTGTCAAAGCTCTTTTAATGTTTTCACTTATGACTTGTAACAGAAAAAAATATTTTACACAGTAAAAATTTAAACTCCTTTATTCTTCCTTAGATTAAAAAAAATTGTCTTAAAATTCTTATCTAGTTTAAAAACCACCTTTGCCATTTTTGAAATAAAATTGGTTATTATTTACAATTATAAAACTTTTAAAAATCTAAGATAATTTTCTAGCATATTAGTTTTAATTTTTAATACCTAAAAACTAAAAGTACATTGATTTTAAATCCTGGTTTCAGTTCTTGGGTAACCATGAAAGAGAATATTAGTATATCAAATTAAAATCATGATTAAAAACCCTTGAAACATTTGAGTTCTAGAATTTTTGTCCAATTTCTGAAGGAATTCAGTTTCTCTGAGTCAGACTGAAAAGTGCTCTCGCCTGTGCTACCCCATGCTTCCCCCATCTCACACATCTATATTGTTAATCCTTTGCACCTGTGAGGACTGTTACCGTGCCATACTTTTCCTCTTTAACTGTATTTGTGCATCTGTCTGCATGTGTGCATTGGGTCATCCTTGGAAGTCCAGCATCTGCAGGAATGGAGAAAAACAACCAAAAGTCAAAATCCCTTCTCTTTTTGTATTGTAACAGGCCAGGTGTGCCTATTGGCTTCCCTCCTTTCTGCTTTTGATGCATAGACTTCTTCAGAGGCTGATGATAGTTCTTATTGCACACTTGTTGATTCCCATGTTTATATTTCTAATGTCATTTATACAACACTGCTTCTAACACCTGTATTTCTTTCTTTTTTGGCATTTTTGAGACAGGGTCTCCCTGTAGCCCCAGCTGGCCTGGAACTTGCTATGTAGACCATGCTGACCTTGAACTCACAGAGGCCTGCCTCTGCCTCCCCAGTGCTGGGATTAAAGACATGCACCACCGTGCCCAGCTCAACACCTGTATTTCTCATGCTGATTCTTAGATCATAGTTTATGTAATATGGAAATCTTAAGGAAAGGAAGACCTAAAGAAGTGATGAAACCTAAATAATTTATATTAAGTGAACAAAGAGAGAAAATTGTGGAAAATTAAATAAATTATGTAGATAGACTAAAAGAAGATAGGAATTGTATTTAGCAATGTCTTTAAAGAATTTCTTTGTTCTCAAGCACCTACTGTTGATGATGCAAAGGCTATTTTCTTCCTGGTATAGGGAGGACATTTTCCATATGAGAATTTTATTTCCTACCCTTAGAAGGAAATGTTGAAGAAAAAATAATCCTTTTGTGCATTAGGTCAAGTTAATCTTTTGCCAACATAGCAGGACTAGAGGTTGCCTTGCCACATGGTAGACAAGCACTGCATGGTGGGGAGGAGAACTTTAAAGAAAAAGGGAAGTTCAGAGTGGTAGGGAAAGCATGCTTAGAAAAGACATAGGAAGAAGAAAAGAAAAGTTAGGCTTTCCTGAGTCCAGACCTCTTAGGAGCTCTGTAGCTACTGCACTGAGGGCAGAAATTCTGGGAAGGGAAAATATATTATCTCATTAAAGGGATGATAATTCTCCTATGTCTTTAGCATGGCATAATATGAACCATCCTTCCTGAGGGGTGGACCGTTGGCTAGTTGGTTGACTGGTTGGCCTAACTGGATTAACCACCCAGAGGTACATTCCCTTCTGTACTGTAACATCAGAAAGAAACCAAATGAGTACTGTTGTGCTCTCTTCTTCTACCATATGGTCTCTGGGAATTGAACTCAGATCATCAGGCTTGGCCGCAAGCCTGCCTACCTGCTAAACCATCTTCCATGCCAAGTCTCTTAAGGAGAAGAAAATGAAGAAATGACAAAACCAGAGGGCTTATATTGAGGGCTTCATAATGCTTATGACCTGTAAGTACAGTTTGGTACGTGATTAAATATAATTTTTGACATAGCAAAGATGCAAAAATATATTGTTCTATCTTAACATCCCAGCCAGTGTTTCTCAGCATTCTACACTGGTTTGGTCTTACCTCAAGTATCGTTGTTGTGGGCCTTTACCAGTAGAAGTAAGTTCTTCCTCTCTTAAATTTCAAATCATCTGCTGGATGCTGGTTAGTGTCCATTCTCAACAAGCTTCCATTCTTTGTTGGGACAAGAAAAATGTGGATACAAACAGTACAGGCACCAAGTGGTCTGGTAAGGAGTGATAGCTAAGATAGTTAGCAATAGATTTGGAATGGCTCTGAGGAATTAGAATGGCCCCACCTTGACACTTGGGTTGCATGTTTTGACATGTATTTGGTGAAAGTTGTGGTTGAGCTGTGGAGACCAAAGAGAGTATCCTAGGAGTGCAGGGGAGAGGCCTCCAACCAAGGTCACAGAGAGAAAGCCCCTAGTTATCTAAAGGAGCCGAGGGATCAAGACAAAGACTTTGTTGGAGAAAGGGAACCAATGCCTTAGATAGAATTCAGTGGAGAAAAGAGAAACAACACCCCTTTATTTGTTGCTCCCATAGTTCCCTAGCTTGAAATGTTTTCTTTCACTCTTCACAAGCTTCCCAGTCCCTGCTTCTCTTGCGTCTCTGCACTGTGTCCAGCCATAGGATGTGTCAGTTCTGAGACTCCTCCATAGCTTTCAATTTATGCTCCCTCTGCTCTCTCTGCTCTTCCTGCTCCTCCCCTAATCACAGAGCATGGTCATAGCTAGTTCTGAGAGGTGCAGCGCTTTCCTTTCCTGTATCCAGTAACCATAGCTTGGTGGTGAGGAAATTTCTCTTTATCAGCCACCTTCCGACCTAAGTATGACCACATTCAAATCGTGTTGAAGGCAAGGATTAAGGTAGCAGTGTCATAATAAAAGCAAGAGGGAAGGTATGAAAGAAAATTAGACTTAAGACTAGGAAACGGGCTGGAGAGGTGGCTCAGCTGTTAAGAGCTCTGGCTGTTCTTGCAGAGGACCTGGGTTTGATTCCTAGCACCCACATGGTGGCTAACAACCATCTATAGCTCCAGGTCTAGGAGAGTCCCCTACCCTCTTCTGACCTCTGAAGGCATTGCACGACACAAATACTTACATACATGCAGGTAATATACACACACACATAAAAGAAAAATAATAAAATATATTTTTTAAAAAGACTAGGAAAGCAGGGAAGTAGGCAGTGCAACAATATATTTCCAGGGTTTGTATATAATAGAGACTGTGATGGAAATACATAGTGACTTAAACGAATCTGCGTTATGATTATTCTCTTTGTGCACTTGCCCTGGATGTCTCTGTCCATGAGGATTACTAAAGGCCTGATCAAGTCAGCTGCTGTTGAGTGGCATCTCTACTCAGTGCTCTCGCAGTGGCCTTGCCACGGTCTTTGTTGGGAAGATGGAAACATTCACTGGCTTTTGAGATATTCTCCAGTGACATGTTTTTTATTCCCGTTTTCTACCAGGCATTTAGAGAAGAAATTGCACCCATCAACTTGAAAGTTAAAACCGTGAATGACCTGTCAAGTCAGCTGTCTCCACTTGATCTGCATCCGTCTCTAAAGATGTCTCGCCAGCTGGATGACCTTAATATGCGATGGAAACTTCTACAGGTATCTGCTTAGCCCCCTCATATGCTGCCTAACACTGCATAAACCACAGGGGAGGGGAGATGGAACTGGCAGTAGGCCCTGTGCATTCTCACTGTAACAACACTTTGTGTTTGTGTAATGTGGAGAGCTAACTATAGAAGATAGCATGTCATGGATGGCCTTTACACCTAGCTTACATTTTTACCCCACATGCTCTTGTTTTCTCTCTCTTTAGTGAAGGTACTCGATAATGTATTTAGCAAGCAACGTCGGGTGTTTTTGTATCTTGAACCCAAGGACCTCATTTACATGAGTATTGATTTATTGTAATTTTAGTGTACTTTTCATACAATACTTACAGAAAATTACATAAAACCAAGTAAGTCACAGTTACTGGAAACTGTAGTGGGTCACAGAAACATGTTTTTCCTGTAATGGCTTGAAACAATCATTTTTCTTACCTTCATTATTGGTTTTTGTTTTGAAAAAAATGATAGAACTTCCCTTCTTTGTCTTCAGTTTGGTTGCTGTTTTTAGGTGTTTTTAGGTCTTTCAGATCATAGTTGAGCATTGGCTCCTAGAACTGAGCTTCCTCAGGCAGTTCTAACAGCTCCAGAACTTCCGTGCATGCTCCAGATTTAACAGAACTGAACCCCAGCTAGGACTCATGAGTCTCCTAGCTATGAGCATTTGCCAGACACTGTCCGTGCCTGCCAGGAGTTCATGGTGTGAAGGATCTGGGTCACGTTCAGTAGCCACCTGTTCAGAGCAAGAGCAATTATGCTTTTCCCCTGAAAATGAGCAGTGGAGAGTATGAGAAGATTGAAAATAAAGAATCCTTACTAATTTCTCTGTATAGTTGGGTCCTAAAATGTGATGTTTGATAAGACAAACATGCAATTTCAATCATTTCATTTGAAAGATATAATATTTTAGGTTATAGTATATATCCTATGTTAATACAAATATCAAAATGCCTAGTGAATCAGGGTCATCCATATAGCTCAGTAGGTAAAGGCATTTGTGGTCAAGCCTGATGATGTGAGTTCAATCCCTGGGACCCACATGGTAGAAAGAGAGAACTGACTCTTACCTACTACACACACACACACACACACACACACACACACACACACAGTGGCGCCTGTGCCCTCCCCAATAAAGAAATGTAAACAATTAAATGATGAATAGTACATATTTTCTTAGTTAAACTGAAGCTGTGAGGAGTGAGCTTACAGGATTGACAGTCTTTTCTGTCATTGCAAAGAATGTTAATAATCTGAGATTAGTAAGGCAAAGTGTATTGAATTTGTAAGTGCTCATAGAAATGTTTGACCTTGTTCTTTTTTCCTCTGTTCCACTTCTCTGCATCATTTTCTTTCATTACCTTCATTTGAGATTCCAGGGGTCCATCTGGATTTACTCCATTTTGCCTTTGTTATCACCACCTCCAAAGACTTAGATGTCAGATGGCACATTACATTTGAAAGAGAATATGCATTCTGTCATCCTTCTTTTGATCCTGGTAGCTACTAGAACTCCAATAATAGTTACAAATAAGAAGAAAGGCACTGCTAGAAGGCAGTGCTGTTAATTTCAGGGGTGGCAGCTTCTTTACCCAAAGTATGACATTTTTGTCTTAATAAGGTATATTCTAATTCAATCCAAGTAGCTAAGCAGGAGAAGCATGAGCTTCCCAGTGAGCTAGATAAATACAAGTTTTATTTATAGGCAACTGAAAATCAAATTGTCAGTCTGAGTGTACCAGCTCACCAGCACTGTGAGGCAAAGATGGGGCAGAGGAAATGGAAATGTCTGAAGGCTGTGTGCAAGTGGTATTGCTTTGCATTTAGTGTGCAAGTAGTGTTGCTTTATCTCTTAATGTAATGACTATGCCTTTTGTGATGTGGAAAACTAGCTGTGGAGTAAGGGCAAACAAATACAGAGGGTAGTGATGTACTAGTGTACATCGGAATATGTCTTGCAACCCTGGCATGCTCAGAGCTCTCTGGTTTGGTTAGGTAGAGATGATCAGATGCAAATGTGTAGGAAAATCAGATTGTATACATGTCTTTCCAGTCTCTGTTTTCTATCACTTCACCTACCCACCCATCCCCGTCCATCTATCTATCTATCTATCTATCTATCTATCTATCTATCTATCTATCTATCTATCATCTATCTTCTATCATCATCTGTGTATCTATCATCTATATATCTATCCATCTAACATCTACCTATCATCTATCTAGCCACTTATCTATCTATCTATCTATCTATCTATCTATCTATCATCATCTATCTATGTAGCTATCATCTATCTATATCTATCTGTCATCTATCATCTATCTATCTATTATCTATCTATCATCTATCTATGAAGCTATCATCTATCTATTATCTATCTATCAGCTATCTATGAAGCTATCATCTATCTATCTATATCTGTTTATCATCTGTCTGTCTGTCTGTCTGTCTGTCTATATCTTTCCCTTGGAGTATTCTAAGCTTCATTGTTATCTGCTCTCTGAAGCACTTTTTACCATCTTCCCTACAGAAAAGCCGTGAGTAGTTGCTGACCACAAGGCTACACCCTTTAGACTCACACTTCCTGAGAGGGAGTAAGTGGAAGTTGTAGGGCATAGATCTGTTACCAGATGGCCCAGGGGAGAATACTAGTGCTGCCACTTACTAGTTTTATGTCCTTGGGTACTTCTCCTGTCTCTGTTTCTCCATCTATAAAATGACAGCCATGATAGTATTTAGCCAATGTGATTACTGTATAGGTTCATATAAATTGCTTAGAAGAGTACCTGGCATTATTTACCATATTTATGTCAGAAGTTCATTTTCACTGCATTGGTAACAAAGAGAAGGGGTCTGTACGAGCAATAATAAATATCTTGGGTAATAGCTTCATTTGTTCTAGTACTTAAATAAAGCACTTATGCAAATCATTGTCTTGAAGTCAAATCATTTCATCTGTCTTGTACACATGTGCAGGTTTCTGTGGATGATCGCCTTAAGCAGCTTCAGGAAGCCCACAGAGATTTTGGGCCATCTTCTCAACACTTTCTGTCTAGTAAGTACCAAGAAATTTGAATGATCTTTTAGGTGAATGAATGAGCAAATTCTTTCAGTTCTATTCAAGAAGCCATATTTTTTGCTGTAACTTTACTTATAAGTAGGTAAATAAAAGGTGTCTGTGAAATATTATTTATTGGTTATGTATTACAGTATGATAATTGATAAGTTTTCAAAGGAGGACAAAAGTGAATTTGTCTTTAGGTATGTTTTGTCATTTAAACATTGGTTAGGATAACTGAAACAGTATCATATCAATGTTTTCTTATGTAAAGGCTGTGGATGTTTTCATACTATTTTTATGCTGAAAGGTTTAGGATTAGTTTTTCTGCACACACAAAAGATGCTTAGTTTCTTTTTTAAAAAGCTCCACATGCATTTTAAATTGCAAACTCCCCATAAATCATTAAATGAGAAAATTTTGATTTACTGGACTGGCTGTGGTCATATTGAAGCTTCTCTTCTGGACAAATATAACAGATTAAAGTTTGTACATGGGAAGAGTATAGTGTAATAGTCTCCAAATTGAATTTTTAATTTTTTGTACACTTCAAGAGGTCATAAATACATAATTTTGAGTTCCTATTTTATTTATTATTTGCCACTAAGGATATTGGGGAATGTTAGATTTCGAATCTCCCAGACTGAGTTTAAATATTAGTTCTGTCTTTTGCCAGACCTAAGAATTTCTGAAAGTTAATTTCATGGTCTTTACATACCTATTTCCTTCAATTGCCTTGATAAGTAAATGAAAAGGCAAATCAGCTTACACAGAGCACATAACCCAGTTCTTGGCACAAATGCTTTCAGTAAATATTAATGCCTTTCCTTTCGTTTCCTTTGACAAATATTTGTGAAAAAGCAACTTGTCAATTTTAACTCTGTTTAAGTAAAGTTTAAACTTAAAGCAAAGAATATTTCTTAATGATGACAGCTTTATTTTTAACCATAGTGAGAACTGAAGTCAGAGTCCTTGTCTCATGACTAAATTGATTCCATTGGTATTTCATCTTAATCTTTTTGTCACTTTAAGAAACTGACTTGCCTATATTAGGCTTTAGCTTCACATTTTCAAGACTTCTAGTTAGTCGTTTTCAGTGCCCTTCCCCCAACACACCCATCTTCAGTTTTCTAAACTGGAGCCATTAGGTGATTAATTTTGAACAGTACATAATTCTTTGTGCAATACTGTCTTCCCAGGAAGGATACATTCTTAACATTTAGATGCCATTAATGTTGATTAAATAAGTAGGCTTTCAGCACAACCATTAGGTATTAAGCATTCTAGATTTCATAATCTTATAAAATAAATTAAGACAAAATTAAAGAGGAATTTATAAAATAGAGACTTTTCTTACAGTTTTAATGATCAGTTATCTGTTAATATTGGTGAAGCCTTAATTTTTCACCCAGCAACCTCTCTCATAGGAATCAAGCTCATGTTTTTAAAGGAATTAAATATCATGGAATAGATGCTTACTTTGTGAAACTCAAGCATGTGGCCTTTTAATGTTTCATGTTAACAGTCCAAGAAAGCTGGTTATTCAAACCAAAAAAATTACTAAATGAATGGAGATATGTAAGCAAAATTCCAATTAGTAAATTTAGTAATTATTATCCTGTGCTGTGTAGAATCTTTTATTTTTATTATGTTTCTTGGATTATAGCCATGGTCATTAAAAAAGCCTGTCTCATTAGGTACAAAATAAAAACTGACCCATTATCCTGATGCCAGCACTAAAAATGAGGTTGACTCTCATGAGAAATTTAGTATACCTAGTTCCTCAGTTTCACCATTTTTTAACTTACTCATTGACATCGTTAGAAAAACCATTTCACCTAGAAGGGAAAAATTGTTTAGTAGAGATTTGCTGAACGAGTGTTGGTCATCCTGAGGTCATATGTGAACTATGCCATTTATTTACTGGATATCACTTTTGGAAAGTTACTTTATCTGTGTACATAGTTTCTTCTCCATCAAACTGAGCTTTAATATACAAATCTTACAGCTTTTTAAAATAAAAAATATATTTGAGAATGTTTAACAAATTTTAGAATGCTGCATATTTATAAATATCAATGTGACATGAAATTAAGAAAAAATATTGGTGACAACTGACTACATGAAAATTTAATGATATTTTCAAAATTTTATTTCAATTTACTTGGTTAGCTCACTTAGCAAAATTCCTTTATAGCTCTGAGTTCACATGTGTTACTCTATTTAATAAGTTTTAAAATAATTGATTTACTATAACAGTAATGTGTTTTGATAAGTAAGCGGTAAATGAAGTTGTGAAAAGTAAGTACCTCAGTAAAACAACCATAAAATCTCAATCAATAATTTCTACCACAAACATAGAAAACTGCTTTCTATGTATTTCATTTGGAAATAAATGTCTAGTAGTCTTCCCAGATGATTAGTTTGGCTCTTACAGCCCCTTCCTTATTATTTTTTTTCATTTTTAAAATTTCATATGATTAAGTTTGTTTAAATACCATCTGTCCTTAATAGCTATTCCTGTGACTAGGATACAAAATTAAGAATGTTATTTGCGAACCAGCAATTCACTCTTGAGAATTCTAGGTGGTTTTTTTTGTTTTGTTTTTGGTCTTTTTGAGACAGGGTCTCCCTGTAGCCCCAGCTGGCCTGGAACTCACTAGGTAGACCAGGCTAGCCTTGAGCTCACAGACAGAAATCCACCTGCCTCTGCCTCCCAAGTGCCGGGACTAAAGGCATGCACCACCACGCTCGGCATGAGAATTCTAGATTTTAATTTGAATGTACAATATGTAGAGAGCACCATCTCCAGGTGGCATTGAAATTTGTGTTGTGATGGTTATAAACAGTAAAATGCGAGTTTTTGATAGCATTTTCATCAACAGGTTCAGTCAGAACCTGGAAATTGAACCTTGTTTCTTTCCTTACTTCAATGAATTTTGAAAGCATTCTGTTTGGCCAACGCATTTTCTAATTGTGGGAACTCAGCTCAGAGGCAGAGCAGATCCCACTGGATTTGCTATAAAATGTGCTCAGTTGTTTTACATTAAGGTATAAAACTTTTGCCTTACTGGTGTTTGCAGTAACCCCCCTTTGTTTCCCCAGCTTCAGTCCAGCTGCCCTGGCAAAGATCCATTTCACATAATAAAGTGCCCTATTATATCAAGTAAGTTGATTTCAATTGTCCTTTCCGATACATGTACATTCATTTGTTTTGTATTATGTTATTGTTGTTTGAGACAGAGTCTCACTATGTAGCCCTGGCTGACCTGGAACTCATTATGCAGACCAGGCTGGCCTTGAATTCCAGATCTACCAGCCTCTGCCTCCACAGTGCTGAAACTAAAGCTGTATAACACCATACCCAGCTCCCTGTAACTTTCAGAAATAGAATTGGTTCTGTTATCTGGAGGAAACTGTGGATAATTAATATTTGGAAGAAAGTTTCAAAATTAAGTAGCTGCCATTTGTTAGGCTTTCTCTGTGTTAGGGATATTTATGTGTGGTGTTAGATTAGCATTGTCATGAGTTTTGGTGTGTGATCATTTCCTCTTAGGGGTTGTTAGCCTGGTTTCTCTGTTCTGCATATTGTTTCTTCCTATGTGAACTTATTTTCTAAGCCTTATATAATTTACACAGCATGTTAGTAGAATATTGTTCTAGTTTGTTTCTCCATTGCTGTCAAAATACTCCTATGGCAAGGAAACAGAGCTAACTTAGTTGTTCACCAACATATGAAAAGATAATAAAAATCTGGTACACATATATATTAGTAGAATATTGTTCTAGTTTGTTTCTCCATTGCTGTGACAAAATACTCTGACCAACTTGGAGAGGAAAAGGTTTATTTGGCTTATTGGCTTGCTCCCCTGAAAAGTTTACGTATGAAGTCAATGGTAGTGAAGTGGAATTTCTTTGTATATCTTTTCTTATTGTCTGAAATATATACTCAGTTTAATAAAACTACTATAACATATTGAAATGTAATATAATGAAAATTTAGTACTGTATATGGTGTACTGAGTTGTGGTAAATTCAAAAACAAAGTATCAGAGCAATTCATTGGTATCTGATTTCTATAAACATGAATAAAAAAGAGTCAGGCTGGGGAACCTGGCATGTCTTTATTGAAAGCAGTTGTTGCCATTTAATTCAAATTTAAAACCTTGATATGTGTTTAACAATTTTTTCTAAGTAATGTGAATTATAGTAATAGTATTAGAGATCATTATTTGGGTAAATATTGGCAAGCTGAATAATACAGGTATAGATACAAATCTGAGGTGGAATAATGCCTTCCCTCAAAGATATGTGACTATTTTAGCTTGCATAACCAGGTAGGCTCCAGGTTGAGGATCACCATAGGGAGACCATTCCAATAGGGCCTGTATAATCATGAGGGCCTTTAAAAAGGATAGCAGCTGAAGAGGGGTCAGACTCAGAATTACAGATGTTCCCTGCTGGCTTTGAAGATGGAAAAATCGGAACATGACTCCAGGATTGCAGACAGCCTCCAGCAACTGGAAAAGGCAAGGGACTGGGATTCTTGTAGACTACCCCCCGTACCCCCCAACCAGGAACACAGCCCTGCCAGACTCACTAGTTCTTAGAAGCTTTTGTGTAGCAGCAGTAGAAAAATGGTACACATACTACACAAAATCTACAAGCCTGCAAAGATTAATTAGAATGAATTAATGGACTGATTTGACTTGGAGTCATCTATAGTCTGATTGCTTAATGCATACTTGATTAAGCAAAGCAGATTTTCTTCACTAGATAAAAAGAAAATATTAAATCTCTTAGTTATACTTAAATAACAATTTTCTACTCGTTTGGGAGACTTCTGAAGCCCATCTTGCATATTCATACTATTGTTAACTAAAGGATTTCTCTATTTCCACATCAGTTACATGTGCTTGAGAATTAAGTAGTTGAAATTAGGCTTTCTCTTATTCATATAGTTTATAATTTTGGTAGGATCTGGTAAGATTATGCTCCTTCTTAGACTGTGAGTTCTTATAGAGAAAATTGGTAGAGTGAGAGTTAATTTATCTGACATTTCCTTGGTGAACATTAGCAGCATTTAGAAACTTTTAAATATAAAATAGAGGATGACAGCCGGGCGTGGTGGCACACGCCTTTAATCCCAGCACTCAGGAGGCAGAGGCAGGTGGATCTCTATGAGTTCAAGGCCATCCCAGCACTCAGGAGGCAGAGGCAGGTGGATCTCTATGAGTTCAAGGCCAGCCTGGTCTACATAGTGAGTTCCAGGACAGCTAGGGCTACAGGGGGACCCTATCTCAAAAAAACCAAAAAAAAAAAAAAAAAAAAAAAAAGGAGGATGACCAATGTTTTTTATGATGATCTTTAGGAGTAAAGCTTCCTACAATATTTTATATCTTTAGCAAAGATTGGGTTTTCTATTTTATATTAATGGATTGACAGTTTCATGCATGTACATAATGCATTCTGGCACATTCATCTCCACACCATCTCTTATCTTCCCCCACCCCCAGCGACCCCTCTCCTCCCACCAGGTCCCCAGCCCACTTTCATGTCTTTTTGTTTTGTTTGTGCTTTATGGCCCAGGGCCTCCTGGGTAGGCATGGGTCTGGAGCTGTGCACTGGGGAATAGGTAACTTTCTTAAATACATCTAATTTTAATGTTAAATATTTTTTAGGCTATTCACATTTTAGAGCAAATTCTCCTGGTTTTATAAAATGTGTTTAACCAGAATCTTCCATTATTTGCTCTGTTGTACACCTTTCCAGTTTATTTCCCCATAAAAAAGGAACAATAAACTTGGGAGGTAGAGATAGAAAAGCCAGTATTTCACATGGAGAACTGTTATGAAAACAAAATTTAATCCTCAAATAAATTAATAAGCAAGTAATGATAAATGGGATGGCTTTTAATGTGCACTTTCCTCTGCATGCCTACACAAACAAGTAGAAGAAAAA